TTAAACCAGCTTAGTGCAGAACCTTTTAGGCCAATTAAGTGATCCAGTCTCTGCAGTAGAATTTGATGGTCAATTGTGTCAAACGCCGCACTAAGATCTAATAAAACAAGTACAGAGACAAGTCCTTTGTCTGAAGCAATCAGAAGGTCATTTGTAATTTTAACTAGTGCTGTCTCAGTGCTATGATGCACTCTAAATCCTGACTGAAATTCCTCAAATAAATTATTATCATGGAGAAAATCACACAGCTGGTCTGCGACTACTTTCTCAAGGATCTTTGACATAAATTGATTGATTGATACATTGATTTCAGATACCTTAACTCACTGTCAAAGTTTGACTCTTATCCTACTCCACGGATTGATGACCTCATTGAGCGCCTGGGTAAAGCAAAGTACCTGACCTACCTGCACCATTGACCTCTCCAAGGGCTACTGGCAAGTTCCCATAGCCCAGCAGTCACGGGAGCTGACGGCGTTCCAGACTCCCTGGGGACTCTTCAAGTTTACCGTCTTGCCATTTGGATTGCATGGTGCCCCCGCAACCTTTCAAAGGTTGATGGACCAGGTACTCGTTGGGCTCTCTGATTTTTCCTGTGCATATCTTTATGACATTGTCATTTACAGCACCACCTGGAAGGAGCACTTGAGACATGTGGAAGAAGTCTTGGGACGCCTGCATTCTGCAGGCCTGACCATTAACCCAGCCAAGTATCTCTGTGCCAGAATGGAAACAGAGTACCTGGGCTTCACGATTGGAGGTGGGTTGATTAAACCACAAGTGCACAAAGTCCATGCAATTGAGTCACGTCCTGTTCCACAAACCAGGAAACAACTCCGGTCATTCCTGGGGATGGCAGGCTTCTACCATCGGTTCATACCGAACTTCTTGGCCAGAGCTGCTCCTTTGACTGACAGGACTGGCTCAAGATGCCCCAATCAGGTCCAGTGGACAGCAGAGGCTGTGGCAGCTTTTCAGGACATCCAGCAGTCTCTGAGTAAGAATCCAGTTCTCCATAGTCCTGACTTTGAAAGGCATTTCATCCTGCAAACAGATGCCTCCGAGAGGGGTATTGGTGCTGTGCTTTTGCAGGGACCACTGGAGGACCAACATCCCGTGGCCTACATCAGCAGGAAGCTATTTCCCAGGGAGGTCTGCTATTCCACAGTGGAAAAGGAAGCTTTGGCAATTAAATGGGCCTTGGACTCCTTCAAATATTACCTCCTGGGGAGGGAGTTCACCTTGGGGAGTTCCCCTTGGAGACCGATCACAAGGCACTGCAGTGGCTGGAAAGGATGAGGGACACCAACGGCTGCATCACCCGGTGGTACCTTGCCATGCAACCATTCAGGTTCATGGTCCATCACATCCCCGGCAAGGACAATGTCACTGCGGACTATCTGTCTCGCTGCCAGAATGACAGCCACACAGCAGCATTAAAGGTTGTACCCCTTCTTCACTCCTAAGTTATGCATATTGCATTTTATTTGGATTTAGTTTACAGTCACAATAAATACACACAACACATTTATACAAGTTAATACTTTATTAGGTAACACTTTATATTAAGGTACACCTATTCACCATTAATTAGTTGCTTATTAGCATGCAAATTAGTAACATATTGGCTCTTAATTAGTCATTATTAAGTACATATTAATGCCTTATTCTGCTAAACTAAGAGTTTTCCATCAATAACCTCAGAATTATTGCTTATTAGTAGTAAGTAAGGAAGTTGTTGTATATGAATTATGATCTCAATATGCTTTGCTTAGTATGGACTTTATAAGGTGGTAGTACCACAAGAATAGTTATTCTCCCTTACTAACACGTAATGAATATGGTCTGTTCTTACATAACAAAACACAAAACTACAAGTGTTAATAGTGTCCAAATAACTCTAAATTAAGTCTTTGTTACTTAGAATATGTTCCCCATGCTAAAATGACATCTTGATCACTAATTCACTAGTAGTTGAACACTTATTAACCAACACATGTTCCCTAATCTAAAGTTGCCGCCTTTTCACACTTAGTTAATATATTATAGCACATAACTACTGCAATGAACAAGTGATGGGTTACATCTTTGAAAAAAAATGTATCTATCTATAGGTTCCCTCTCATTCGGTGGTAGAATAACAAAGACAGCAAGTACAAATACCTAATTTATTAAACCACTGGTTCAGGTTTTCCCAAGGCTGACAACAAATACTGCCTGAACTTGCTGTGTAGTTTAACTTACAGGTAATGGGGTCTGCCTGAAAATTCAAACACTGACAACTATCAGTGTATATGAACATGTCATACAATATGGTATCAAATGTATAAGCAGGTCATACTGTATGATAATACAGGTACTCTATTGTTGAAAATCTGTGTGATCCTTTTACCAAAATCTGCCTGCTTACAAAAAACAGCCTAATCTTGCCCTATAACTACTGCATCAGGTGATTTATTTCCCCTGTGCACTAACAAGGATAAAACAAAATCTGCACAGGTTAATATTTCACATTTCCAATACAATACAACAGATTTTTAACTGAACAAAGCAGCTCACTTAAGTCTTAATATTTCATCAACAAGGGGAGGAGTTGGCCTTTGGACTTCATGTCCTCTATAATGCTCTTTTTCTAATTTGGGTTGCACACCTCTTAGCAAAGGACTGCAGGGTCTCAGTTGCAGGATCATACTTCAGGGTCTTGAAGGTTTCAGGATCCACAATGTTGAGCTCTGCAATTTCAGCAGTCATCTTGATGGTTCCCCGGTCCACGCCATTGATTCTGAAGGCTTCAGTCATGGTGTGGACTTTGCTGATGCTTTTCAAGACTTTTTTATATCTGCTGATAACCTCAGCTGGCCCTTTTACTGAAAAATATATAAAACAAAAAAACACGAGAAATGAGCACAAACAACTGCTTAAGGTCAGCTGAAATTGCTCAAACTGGTCACTTCTCTTTTGATAAAAGTATGAAGCATATTCTTTGATTTAAATTTTACTGAGGATTTGCACATCACAACAATGCCACAATGAAGGTGAGGGACAATTAATCCTTACAGTTTTGTAGTTTTTTAACACAAAAATCAAAACAAAAACAAAAAAACCTTCTCAACCCATCCCCTCCCGAAAGCTTACATAGAAAAGAAAAAGAAAAAAAAAAGAAAATAAGACACGTATCAAAAGTTTTGACAGCTAATAGTACATCAGGTAAAACACTAAAGAGCAAAGAGCACAAAGATCTGGATCAAACCTACTCAAATACAAGAGGAGCCATCCTGGGCGCGAGCCTTACCACAAGAGACCAACCACTTGTCCAGCAGAGGCTGCCATATTCTCAAAAAAAAAAAAAAAAAATCCTTATTAATTAGGTTATAACGAAGCCGCTCCATATGGAGCACATTCCCCAGGTCTCTAAGCCACTGCTGTAACTGAGGACCATCCTCAGACTTCCATTGTTGTAGAATTAAACGTCTAGCCAGCAGTGTGCACAAGGATATGGCTTGACCTTCGAATTTGTTGATAGAGGGGTTAACTGTTACTGCTCCAAAAATAGCAAAAAGTGGGTCGGGGGCAATATCTTTCTTAAAGGCTTTTGATGTGTAGTCAAAAACCAGTGACCAAAAAGAATCTAGCTTAGGGCAAAACCAAAAATGATGGGCAAGCGTACCGGTCTCCTGCTTACACTTGTCACATAGTGGGGAGGGGTGTTAGGATATATGGAGTAAAGCTTGGACTTTGAATAGTGAAGTCTATGGACTATTTTAAATTGAACTAAAGTATGTCTGCCGTTTATGGAACTGTGATGAATATTATCCAAAACTGAGACCCAGACTTCCTCGGGAATTGTAGTGTCCAAATCTTTTTCCCAGTCACTCCTCAGTTTATCACTGGAAACCGCTATGTTAGCTTGCAAAATGTCATGGAAAAAAGCAACTGATCCTTTAGAGCCCGGTGTATGCTGGAGAATATTATCCAATGTATTATGCGTAGGCAATGATTCAAATTGAGGTATGTGCGACCTTATATGGTTCCTTATCTGAAGGAACCTGAAAAAATGTGCTGGTGGCAAGCTATGAGCCCTTTGAAATTGCTCAAATGACTGAAGGTTGCCCTCGGCATATAAATCCCTAATTGTGACAATATTCCTGAATTTCCAGAAAGGAAAGACAGGGTCTGTTAAAGCAGGAGGAAAGGCGTGGTTGTGGCAGATTGGGCTATCCACATACAAGCTGTGTCCCAATTCAGGGTCTGCATCCTTCGGAGGCACCCGATGTTAAATGGAACAGTCTACCCTACGGAGCATTTCCTGGTTGCATCACGACGTCATGACTCCTGCCACCCAAGCCCGGGAAAGACACAAAAACATAACAGACAACTTAAACAGACGACACAGAAACATAACGGACAGACGACATAACAGACGACACGGAAACATAACAGACGACAATGATGGAGCCAGAGTTTGTGATTTTGTTTTTTTTTTTAATATATTTTTTGTTGGAGGAAGAGGAGAGGCGGCTCCAGCGACAGCGACACCGGCGGCTCGTTTATCTCCAGCTGGGAGAGAGCCGTGGGGAGGTAACGTTAAACCTGTTATTTTAACCCACATTAATGTTCATACATAGCTAGCATAGTTCGTGGTAATTAATATAACCGTTAATAAACGGGTACCGTTAAGTGACAAACGCTAGCCATATAAACTATAGATTGACATTTAAGTTATGGTTCATGTCATTTAACCATTACACTTAATACAGGGTTCGTACAGGTGCTTAAAATCTTTGAAAATGCTGTAATTTTAATGCTTGAATTTTAGTTTAAATGCTTGAAAGGGCTTATAAAGTGCTTTAATTGAATAGTAAAATGTGTACGAACCCTGTAAATATCCCTGACTTAATTCAATGTTAAAATATTGTGTCATTAAACATCAAAACCATATTGAGAAGCCAAAGTGGATAGATGGACAAATAAAGCATTATTGATATAAGCTATAACATTAACTAGCATTGTCTTATTAACTAAAATTAAATAGCTATTGTTGCTTTAATCATTTATGTTCTCCTGTTCTTACCCTCCTTTCCCCATCCAGACGAGGCCGATGTACTGCCGCCTTAATATGAATGTTCCGGGTCTACAAATATTTTTTGATGATCATGACACCCGACAAGATTTCAGGCTGAGCAGAGAGTCCCTGGCGGTGCTGCTGGACCTTCTCCACCAGGAAAGACGACATGGATGGGGTGCCACAATAGAGACCTTGGTCCTTCTCTTCTGGCTGGCGAGTGGGACATCATACAGGGTGGTCTCAAGGGTGTTTGGGATGCCTCGCTCCACTGATCACCACATCATTCATCGAGTTACTGAGGAGGTGGTGGCCATTCGCCACAGGGTCATCTACCTCCCCAAGACCGCTGACGACCTGGCGGCAGTAACTCAGGGGTTTGCAGGGCTGGCAAGACACAGAGCTTTTCTAAAAGCTGCTGGAGCAATCGACGGCTGCCATGTCAGGATCAAGCCACCAAGCGGCCCTGATGGTCACTGCTATAGGAATCGCAAACTGTTTGCGTCTATTATCCTGCAAGCAGTTTCTGACCATCAGGGCCGCTTCATCGACACGTACGTGGGCTGGCCGGGGTCGGTGCACGACTCCAGGGTACTCCGGCACAGCCCACTGTACAGGCGGGCCATCTACCCTCCTCCAGGGTACTTCATCTTGGCAGACGGTGGGTACCCATGCCTCCAACATCCACTCCCCCTCATCACTCCCTACAAGCGGCCGGTACAAGGTGTGGGAGCCCAGCGCTTCAACAGCCATCATTCCAGGGCACGCTCCATCATAGAGCGTGCCTTTGGGATGATGAAGACGAGGTTTAGGGCCATCTTCCTCCAAGCGCTGGAGGTGCACCACACCTTTGTGCCTCAGGTATGTCATTACACAACAGAATTATTGTTAAATGGTGAATACCAGTAAATTAATTAAAATTAAATTACAATTACATTAAATTAATCTTTTTTTTTCCTTCTTTTCTTCAGGTCATAACAGCATGTGCCGTCCTGCACAACATCTGCCTGGGTGCTGGTGACATCATGGCCCCAGAGGATGAAGTGCAGGACGACATGCCGGAGGATGAGGGGGAGAACGGGTTGGAGGCAGTCAGTGGTGCTCCATGGCGGAACCAGCTGTCTGCCGAGGTATCTGCCCTGGAGGAGGGTGTCCTTGACCATGATTACCTTTAGAGGGCAAGTAAAATAATTTTAAAGCTATTCCTATTTAAAGTGTTTTGTAAAGTTTTGTTTGTTGAAGTAGTTTGTGGTGGGATGTTTAAAAAGTTGTGCAGTAGTATTCTGTTTGTTTTATTCTTGCCTCTCTTTTAAACATTTTTAGTGACATGGCAGCCGTCGATTGCGTCAGCCCTGCAAACCCCGTTGATGGACGATGTGGTGGACAGTGGAGACATGCATCCCCCACCCCCCACATGATGTCCCACTCACAGCCAGAAGACTCCAGGGTCTTTATTGTGGCATCCCATCCAGTCCAGCAGCACCACCGGGGACTCCTGCTCAGCCAATAATCATACTGTAAATAAATGTAGTTTTTTGTTATTTAATAGGTTAGTAATGCATTTAATAATTTTCTGCTGATCATTTGTAAATAGTTGTACATGTTAAGAATGCCCACTTGTAAATAACTAAAAATGTTCAGATTGTATCTTTGTAAATAGTTATGAGAAAAAAATAAATTGTGTTGTCACTGAAAAGTAGTTCAAAAGTTTACTCTAGTTGTAAATAAGAAATGGAACGGAAAATGATTACAAGACTTTAATTTAACTATATACAACATTTGAAAAAGATAATGGAACTATATAATATTTTTAATCAACAACTAACTATAACTATATACAACATTTTAAATTAACATTTGAAAACAAGAAACAGCAACACATAAAACTTAATTGAGCAGGATAAAAAAAAAAGCTAAAAAAAATCACTGCGTCTCAACCATTCTCTCCAGTAAATTAAAAAGTCTCTCCATTCTCTCCCGGCTCTCTCTTTCCCTCCTCTCCTCAGCCTCCCTCTGCAACCTCATGTCCTCTCTCAACAGCTCCAACATCTCATCTTCTCTTTCCCTTCTTCTTTTACGTGTCCCTCCTGTTGCTGGCCCTGGCTGCCTCTCCTCCTCCTCCTCCTCCTCCTCCTCCTCCTCATGCTGCTCACCCACTGCAGCACTTGGCCCTGGTGTGTCCTCAGGGATGGAGGCAATTAGGACAGGTGGGGCAATGGAAGGCCTCTGTCCTAAAACCTCATCCATGAGGACAAACCAGGGCCAGGTGGCAGCAGTGGGCTTCCCGCCGACCCTCTGCCCTGTCCCTGGATCTTTGCATTCCTAAGGTAGAGGAAATCAATCACAACACCAGCAATTTTCTGCTAAGTATTTATGAAAAAAGTCTTGAAAAGGAGGTTATCATGGACTCAAAAGCAGGTATGTCTGAGATGCTCTTTGGAATGGGATTCATGTAGTGATAAAGAAACGAAGAAAAAAAAACCCAAGGCACTCTCCCAAAGCAGTTAAAATGCCTTTATTCTTAAGCCATGGTCATATAAACCTTAAAAACACAGTCCTTCGACACGTTTCAGCATCAAGCCTTCAACAGGAAGTTAAACAGATTCAAGGAATAAAGAATAAAGGCATTTTAACTTCTATGGCAGAGTGCCTTGGAGTTTTTTCTACATTTCTTTATCAAAGTATTAACTTGGTTAAAACAAATGTAGTTTCCATATCATTATCCAAACCTGCACGTACTTTATATATATATTTTTTTAAGTTGTCCCACTTTTTTTTTGCCTGTTGAGGCTCCACTTTCCCCTCCAGGCCCATTTTTTGAAGGATTGTTCTAAACAAGAGAGAAGCATTACAAAAGGTAAACACACAAGATCACAAAAGGTGACATCAGGACAGACATTAAACTCCCACCACCACCACCTAAAAACAACATTAACTTGTGATCTTAGGATTATATTTGTACTTTGTACAGGATTTGGGTTAATTTAAGTAACCTTTACATACAAATATGTGTAGAGTACAGATGGGCTATTTATTATTGCCTTAACAGGTACCTCCATCCGAGTGTGGCCGTATTTTTGGCCCCTGTGAAGAGGTGGTCGTTTTCCCCCCTGAGTTTTATAAATTCCTCCGTTTGCTCCTTGCTCCCTACAACAAAATGAAATGTAAGACATATTTTCTATTATGTCAACAGGCAAAATGATATACATATATAGGCCTAATAACGACAATAACAATAATGCTCCTGAAGTTAGCTCTAGGCTATATTCCATCCAAACGTTTAGTTTAGTTTAGTACAGTTTTACAGCCTAGAAATACACACACACAACTCACAACCTATCCTCTCATTAACTTTATATTTGTTCACTGCAGTGCATTTATGCACCTGATGTGAGGTATAAACATCCTACAACATCTCCACAGTTACAATAAGATATAACGAGTCACCCTCCGAGCTTTTAAACAATTGAAAGTGAAGGGGTTTAAGGCTTTAACTGTTACCGTTACTTTTAAAGGCTAACTGAGCTCCTCCTATCAACAAGTTAACGTTAAGCTAATGTTACATCGCGGAGCTGGCTCTACATTCCGGTGGCTACGTGTTAGCATTACTAACGTCACGTATTTTAACAGCCATTTAGAGGTTTTAAGGCCCCTTGAACTTCTGGCGTTAAGTAAAAATCCGTTACTTACATTTGAAAGTGTATTCGGTGCCACTGTTTTGTTTGCCGCCATCGTCAAAAAGATCCAGGTTGAACAAAGGCGCGCAAAGCATCTTGGGATATGGGAGGCCACGAAGGATAGTTGCGGTGCATCCTCCGAATACAGGGAAAAGGAGGGTGCATTTGTCGGCTGCATTTGGAGGAGCCTTTGAATTTGGATGAATTGGGACAGCCTTCGCGCAGCGTTGTGATGTAAGCGGCCTTCAAATTCGCCCTCCAAAGGATGCAGACCCTGAATTGGGCAAGGTAGGCTTAGGCAAGTTAAGGAATGACTGAATTTTTTTCCATATTTTTAAGGAATTAAGTATAGTGGGGTTGATAATGTATGGTGGTGTCTTAAATTTAACTGGATTGTTGAGCAGTGCTGGGACTGACTGAAACCATCTCAATTTGAAGCCATACAGGTCTATTGGATTGGTTATGGTCTGCTGGCAGACAGTCACGCCAAAAAGACAATGCATTCAAATTGGCTGCCCAGTAATACAATTTGAAATGTGGTAATCCAAAGCCTCCTTTTGCCTTATGTTTACATAAATGTTTTTTAGATATTCTAGCTGTTTTGTTGTTCCAAATAAAAGAGAATATGACAGAATCCAACTTCTTAAAACAATAGAGAGGAATAAACACTGGCAAACATTGAAAAATATATAGAAATCTTGGAAGAGCCACCATCTTTAACGCATTAATACGACCAACCGTAGAAATGTAATCCCAATTACTCTTCAAAAGTTTCCCATGCTCACGTGTAGCAATGATACCCAATGTTTTGAATTTATCCAAAGTTATCTTAAAAGGTGTAGTGCGTAGGAAGCTTAAATCAACCGTTTCGGATATGGGCATTAATTCACTTTTTCCCCAATTGATCTTGTAGCCCGAAAAGCTACCAAAAGTCACAGTTAAGTGTAGTAGAGGTGGGATAGATGTTCTGGGGCGACACATAAATATTGTTATATCATCTGCAAATAAAGATAAATTATTAACTGTATTGTGAACTTTAATTGGGGCAATATTTTGATTTGCTCTAATCTGGCTGGCTAGAACTTCGATGGCTAAATTGAAGAGATATGGGGAGCAACTACAACTCTGTCTTACCCCTCTTTGTAAATAAAAGGACTGCGATATCTCACCATTGGTAATAATTGATGCTTGAGGCTGATTTTAAATTATCTTGATCCAATCAATGAACACCTGGCCGAAGCCAAAATGTTTTAGAGTGGACAACATATATTTCCATTCCAGATGGTCGAAAGCTTTTTCGATGTCCAACGCAATGACCACTGACTCTTCCATGTGCTTGTAATACATAATATTAAAGAGGCAGCGTAAATTGAAAAATATGTGTCGTCCCGGAACAAAGCCGGATTGGTCTGGGTGGATCAAATCAGTCATGTACCTACTCAATCTGCTAGCCATCACCTTGCTCAATATTTTAATTTCCATCAGAAGGAGAGGTATTGGGTGATAGGACGCCCTGTCCTTTTTCAGAATTAAAACTATGTTGGCCTGATAGTGAGTGAGTGAGGTAGCACTGAAGCTTGCTTTGAATGTTTAAACATACGTAGAAGCAATGGAGCGAGGCTTGGTAGAAATGTTTTATAGAATTCAATAACGAACCCGTCGGGGCCAGGAGCTTTATTGTTAGGAAATTGAGATATAGCTGCTTTAATTTCTTCAAGTGTTACCTCCACATCCATTGCATTTGCTGCATTCGCATCTAATCTATTAGCCAGGAATTCATTCATAATTTGGGGGTCTGAATCTGTACTTTTAGACTGGTAGAGTTCCTCATAAAACTGAGCAAAACATTTGTTTCTCTCAGCTGGGTATGAAGTAAGTTTACCTTTTCTGTCTCTTATTTTATGGATGGTGTGAGTGGCTTGTGAGTGGCGTAGCTGCCTCACAAGCAACCTGTGGGGCTTATCTCCTAGCTGAAAGTATTTTTGTGAGCAGTGCACCAATTGATAATTGATAATAATTGATAATACTTAATCTGGACAGACAGTCTCAAAACTTATAAGAGGGGCCTCCGCAATGCCAGACCAAACTATTACTCAGCATTAATAGAAGAAAACAAGAACAACCCCAGGTTTCTTTTCAGCACTGTAGCCAGGCTGACTGAGAGTCAAAGCTCTATTGAGCCTTGTATTCCTTTAGCCCTTAGCAGTAATGATTTTATGAGCTTTTTTAATGACAAAATTCTAACTATTAGAGGCAAAATTCATGA